AAAACAACTTCTCTCATCTGAATGAAGATCAACATGACAGCATCATCTTTCTTAGCCTGCGGACTGCCAGTTCTGTCCCACTTCCTCTCACAAAGGCATTCATCAGAGCAAGGAAAATTACTAAAGCATTTCACATACATAAGCAGCATCCAGCCCTGCAGAGAGAGAAAGAGCTGACAGGGACCAGGCCGTGGTCTGGCCACGGTGCCGCTGCAGGGAGCAGAGGAGGAGCAGAAAACGTGGGCTGTACAAGGGGGGCTGTTGGAAGGAACACAAGTGCCACATCTTCCTCCTTTTCCTCCTAGTGTCATTTAGGAGGTTTGGTAGGATGGTGAGAACAACACGGGGTCTCTCTAAGGGCAACAGGGAAGCAGGAACCCTAAACACAACCAAGGACATAGTCCCCTCTGGCTGAAAGCCCTTTCCCAACCCAGAAAAACAGGAAAGGCGGACTTCTCAGCCTGCTCACTGGGACCTCAGTGTCAAAAAAGCCCCAAATAACCCTTGTCTTACACATTCACTCCTGGATAGTCAGTTGTGCCACAAATAGAGATTGCCTGGATAAAGACAGGGGTTAAAGGTCTTAAAAAGCAAGTACCCTTTGTGGTAATATCAGAGGATAACAGCTCTCAATGCTGGAGAATTTACAGCCATTTTCCTTCCTCAAATTTTTAGTCAAGTCTACAGGTGGCTTGAAAAAGTGCTTGAAAATGTTTCAATGCAACTTGGTTTGTAAATGGAAAAAATGTCCACATTTTCTAACCAGACTTGCTTCATATGCTGATATATAAACACACACGCAGTTGTCAAGGTACATTTGTCCTGGCAAAGGAGAACTTCACATTTCTGAAGCTGTGTATATTTCGATTCTTGACCACAGTTTAACATCAGTGTATTTTTTGTTATTTTTTAAATCACTGCAGTGATTAATGATAGTGAAAGTAACATACCGCATGTGTTTACTTTGATGTGTTTCGCATGAACATGTTAAAATATACATACTAAATGTGAGATTTAAAATTTAAAACAAAAAGCAAAACAAAAGCAAACCCCAAAGGAACTTTTAGCACTCACTTGCTCTGCTTTCTTCATGCATAGATTTATGAACACTGGGAAGGAGTCCAGCTGAGCCTAAGTTGCATCTTGTTGAACGTGAGCAATTAAGTGGACAGCCCTTCCTAACGTAGCTGTTTTAATAGAGTTCACATCTTCATTTAGCTGATCTGTCCTTTTCCTCATGTTCTATTAACACGTAATGCCAACTCAGCTTCGTGGCTGAAGAAGGCCCTATGCATACATGAATTTAAATTTTCCACGATTAGGAAAATGCTGATCAAAAGACTGTCGGTGTTAGGTGCCCAAACCCTTTCCTGTGCATATTCTGCCCTTAAGCCAGGAAAGGTAAGTGGATTTATTTAATGTCATTATACTTATCAGCCCTTGTAATTAGGCAAGGACATATTAGATATAGATAAATAAAGACTCCTCAAAAAGCAGTTTAAAAAAGCATTCTTAAAAAGCAAAACGATGAGTTAAAGAAGGTCTTTTTTCCGTTTTGTTTTGTTTTGAGATTCACAACCAGATAAGAAACAACCCTAGAGAAAACAAGTATACCAAAGGGACATTACAGGAAAAGCTCTTTCGTTAAATCACAGAATGGTTGAGGGTGGAAGGGGCCTCTAGGGATCATCTAGTCCAACCCTCTGTTCCAGTAGGGACACCTAGAGCACGTGGCACAGGGTGGCATCCAGGTGGGTTTGGAAGATCTCCAGAGAAGGAGACTCCACAACCTCTCTGGGCAGCCTGTTCCAGGGCTCTGTCACCCTCACAGGAAAGAAGTTCTTCCTCACATGGAGATGGAACTTCCTGTGTTTCAACTTACACCCATTAGCCCTTGTCCTGTCTGTGGCCACCATGGAGAAGAGCCTGGCCCCATCCTCCCTATAACCACCCCTCAGGTACTTGAACATGTTGATCAAACCTCCTCAGCCTTCTCTTCTCCAGGCTAAACAGGCCCAGCTCGCCTAGTCTTTCCTTACATGACCAATACTCCAGTCCCTTAATCATCTTTGTTGCTCTCAGTTGGACCCTCTCTAGAAGCTCAACGTCCTTCTTGTCCTGGGGAGCCCAGAACTGCACCCAATACTCCAGATGCGGCCTCACCAGACCTGAGCAGAGGGGCAGGATCCCCTCCCTCGACCTGCTGGCAACGTTCCTCCTGATGCAGCCAGGATCCCATTGGCCTTCTTGGCCACGAGGGCACACTGCTGACTCATGGTTAACTTCTTGTCAACCAGGACTCCCAAATCCCCCTCTGCAGAGCTGCTTTCCAGAAGGTCAACCCCTAATCTGTCCTGGTGCCTGGTAATCCCAGGTGCCCTCCCCAGGTGTAGGATCCTGCACTTGTCCTTGTTGAACCTCATGAGGTTCCTCTCTGCCCAACTCTCCATCCTGTCTAGGTCCCTCTGAATGGCAGCGCAGCCCTCGGGAGTGTTGGTCACTCCTCCCAATTTGGTGTCATCCGCACACTTGTTGAGAGTGCACTCTGTGCCCTCGTCCAAGTCATTGATGAACAAGTTGAAGAGCACCAGGCCAACTAGTGCCCTCTGCGAGACACCACTGGCCACAGGCCTCGAACCAGACTCGGCCCCATTTATCACTACCCTCTGGGCTCTGCCATCCAGCCAGTTCTCAATCCACTTCACTGTCCACTCATCCAGTTCACACTTCCAAAGCTTTCCTATGAGGATGTTATGGGAGACTGTGCCAAAATCCATGGATCTCCCATCGTCCATCCAGCCGGTCACCTCATCGTAGAAGGCCATCAGGTTCATCAGACATGACTTCCCCTTGGTGAATCCATGCTGACTACTCCTAATCACCTTCTTTTCCTTCACATACCTAGAGATGGTCTCTAGGATGAGTGCTCCATCACCTTTCCAGGGATGGAGGTGAGGCTGACCGGCCTGTAGTTTCCCAGCTCCTTTCTCTTGCCCGTTTTGAAGACTGGAGCAACGTTGGTTTCTTCCAGTGCTCCAGCACTTTCCCCGTCCTCCATGACCTCTTGAAGACGATGGAGAGCAGCTGAGCTATGACCCCCACCAGTTCCCTCAGCGCTCTTGGGTGCAGCCCATCCGGACCCATAGATTTATGGGTGTCCAGTTTGCCTAAGTAATCCCTAACCCAGTCCTCCTCGACCAGCAGAAAGTCCTCCTCTCTCCTGGTTACCTCTCTCGTCTCCGGGCTCTGTAGTTCATGGGGACTGGCCCTAGCAGTAAAGACTGAGGCAAAGAAGGCATTTAGTAACCCTGCATCCTCTGCCACCAAGGCAACCTCCCTATTCAGCAGCGGACTAACATTTTCCCTAGTCTTTCTCTTGCTGCTGATGTATTTGTAGAAGCCCTTCCTGTTGCCCCTGACATCTCTCACTAATTCCTAAAGGAAAACATCAGATGACTGCCATTATACTCACCACAAGAGTTACCACTGCTCAGCCATGGGAAGTTGGCTTCAAGCAAAGGCATAATACGTGAGGGCGGGTAAGATCTTTCTTACTAAAGGTTAAACCCTCTAGCAAGAGCCTTGCAGCAGGGAACATAGAGGTTAGCTTACTAACAGATAGGATGCCTTTTCTTCTGGGACAACATCCACATATAGGATCCAAAATCGATACAAAGGTACAGAAAGGTCCAATTAATCATGTCCCAAGGAGGCAACTCAGTTAGCAGGTGCTCTTTAAGCTGCCAAAGAGGCAGCTGAACTCTCCTCCCTTTACTGAGAGACACCCTCGATAAAGCAAAATGAATCTGGGCCGCAGTCCTGCCAGAGCTACACCTGAAGAGCAGATGCAAGACAATTAAAACATCCCTGGGCTGATATGCAGGTACACTTTGCTTAAGTTATAGTTTTATATTTATATATATAGTTATATAAATTATATATAAGTTATATATTACATGTATATAACATATATAAGTTATTTATTCTTTATTAATCAAATAACACTAAGGCCACTTAAAGACATGGGTGACAAATTTATCAGTTGTAATAGAGTCTACAAAGGGAACCTCGGGATCCTGGAGTTGAGTTAAAAGACCATAAAAGCTTAAAAAACATTTTTCCACTACAAAAAAAAAAAAAAGGA